CACCCCTCGGGTGACAGGCGTCCCAGCGGGTGACAAGAAGGGGCTGCACGACGCGCCGCCCGTGCTGCCCCGCCACCGGGCCGGTTCCTTGGCTGGGGAAGAGAAGGGAGTAGGGGCTGCTCTGCAGGCTCATGGGCAGAGTGTGCGAGGGTGGGCAGGGGGGAGAGGAGAGGAGATGTTGGGGAGCAGCTCCCGGGTGAGGGGATGACAAGGCCCGATTCCACCAGAAGGGACCTGCCACTTTCTGCAGGCAGCGCGGCTGGGCAGACACGCAAGTGCTTGTTCATCCCAGGACAGTTGTGGCCAAAGCTGCATTCCGGGTATTGAACCTTTGTCAGGTTAGACAAGCAGCGCTTTGCATCCTTCCGGCTGGGTTATGTACGTGCCTCTAAAGACTGGAAGGGAGGGCCAGAGCCATGGCAGACTGGTAGAGTGGATGCCTGGCATCTGCTGAGCAAACATGTAGGTGCACCCAGCTATAGACACCCACAGAATGTCCTGCTGGTGGGTTTGTAGAGGTAATAATGCACGTGGTTTATCTTGAGGGCTCTTCTATGGACTTGTTCAGTAGCACAGATATTCCTACACATCTCAGACTTCAGGTTATGCAGGTTAGATTTGTTGTTATGTTCAGTCCCAGGAGACACCTGATTGCTTACATCCTGGAAATGCTCTCCTGGATCTGATACACATGTTGGACTCTGTAGCATATTGTAGAATTATAGAAACAGTAGCCTTTGGATAAGTAGATTGCAGCTCACACTGTGTTAAGACTGTATTGCATGGAGAGCAGGCACAGGGGTTTTATCCCACAGGCACAGCTCTATGTAGGTACAGACACCATGTTTCACTGCTGCATAACACCTACATTTTGCAGCAGTAAGAGCATGTCCTTGACAAACCACTGTATATAGTTTAAAATACTTCAGTAGGGTAGGTGTGTTTTAGAAACAAATTTCCTCTTCTCTTTCTTGTTACTAGTTTTCAACTTTTTTTTTTTTTTTTTTTCAACAGGCTGTTACAGATTCTTCTATATTCATTTCTTTTTTTTCCCGGGATACTTGCTAGGAATTACAGTTTAGGACTAAAAGTAGCTTGTACTGTCTTTTAATTCTGCTTAATCAAGATCAAAACCCAAAAATCAGGACTATCATAATTCCATGAAAAACATGGAGTATATACTTTCTATGGTACATGGTAATTAAGATGTGATTAATGTGGATGAAAGTAACAGTAAAACCATTTTTTGCAAAGGTATCTAATTGCAGATCTGTTCTCATGTAAAACTTTTGGTGAGGAAATAAACCAGCCTTCCATCTAGCTGAGTGTATGTCAGCTAGCCAAACCTGTCTGAAACTTGCTGGGTTTCTCACATGGGACAGACAACTTTCAGCATGTGCTGGGCAGGAAAGGAGCTGGTACCTTCCCAGTTTAATCTGTGTGTACAACCATATATTTAAAGTTAGTGCAATCTGTGTTTGCTTTTTTTTTTAAGAAATTGAATATTTAAAAAGGAGTGTACAGACTAGTCTGTGGTTTTTACTTGCATGAGAATTAGAGCTTCTCTCAGTTAAAACTCGTCTATGTTCTTCATTCATGCTGATAATTCTTTGCCTGTCACCTTAGGAAGGAAGATTGCAAGAAGTAATTGAAAATCTTCTCTCCTTGGAAAAACAAACACGGACGGTAAGTAGGGTGTGGTGGGCAAGGTTACTGCTTGGTGGCCCCAAACACCTCCTCATTCCACTGCATGAAAGTCCTGAAGTGTCCTCTTTTGTTGTTCTTTTCTTTAAAAAGAAAATCAGTGAGGCTAAATGGAAGCTTTTCTTTTCCCCTTGGTGTAGCAGAAGTGCAGGGGACAGAGGTGTGCAGGTAGTTAACCCATCACTGACATGTTGTTCATTTGTTCCAGGCATCTGACATGGTCTCCACATCCCGGATATTAGTTGCTATAGTGAAAATGTGTTATGAAGCTAAAGACTGGGATGCTCTTAACGAAAATATTATTCTTCTATCAAAGAGAAGAAGTCAGTTAAAACAGGTGAGTTTAATACTTGGAGATAAAAAATACTTATATTTGGTGCTGTGTTATGTATCTGATTCCCCCTTGTGTGTAGGGACTTCCCTGATATTGTAGCATGTGCCTGAATGTATTGTAATTAGCTTTGGGAGACACAGGAAAAATAATGAGAGTGGTGTCTGGAGTGAGTCTGTCTTCAGCTTGGGCCTGAGCTCTGGGTGGGGCCTGGGGATGTGGCTTCATGCTGGACTTGCTAGAGTAGGGTTAATGGTTGGACTTGATGATCTTGAAGGTCTTTTCCAACCTAAGTGATTCTGTGATTCTGGTCCAGTTTGCCATTCTTGGCAACACAGCTGTGACTTTTGGCTATTTTGCTTACCAGTGCTTTTAGACAGCAGTTCGTCTTCACACTCATCTGTAGTCTGTGTTGGAGACACCTTCTGCATTTTTCATGGTCATGAGGTGTCCATTAAACAGAGTTACTGCAATTTCTTGTGATCAGACACTATGCTTCTGAAACTGTCATGCTGTGGAATGCAGTTCTGTCTGAGAAATCATCTACTGGGGTATCTGAAAGCACTTGAATTGCAGAAGGAACAGAGATTATTGCACTGTTTGTTTAGACTGACTTAATTAGAAGTTGGAAATAGCTAATTTTACTGGTATTGATTTAGGAAGAAAAAATTACCTATTCATGTGCAGAAGCATTAGGAGTTTTTATAAAAGTAGAGTGGCTGAAGACTTGGGAGTATCTCAGCTGAATTTTCTTGAGGAAGAAGTTTCTAGAAGTTAAATTCTGGTTTTGTTTGCGGGTTTTAGCTTTTGGGGTTTTTTTTAGGGCTAGATATTTTAATAATAATTGTAACAGCTTTGTCAGTGGTGTTACCAGAAGAGCAATACCAACACCTGTGCCTCCCTCTGCAGTAGTGCCTGTTTGGGAATATGCAGAGATGGAAAAGCATCAGTCAGGAATAATTGCCCCTCTTCCTTCCCTTGCTGAAAAATCTACAGGTACCCAAAGTGATTAACTATGTCCTGCCTGCTTCTGTTGAGATGAGCCTCTTTGGTTTGATATGAAACAATTTAATACTTATCTCTGAGTGTTACAGTATGAATGAGTTTGAGAAATCTAAAAACACTGTATGTTTTTTTTCTCTGTTCTTGCACCAGGCAGTTGCCAAAATGGTCCAGCAGTGCTGCACTTATGTTGAGGAGATCACAGACTTACCGGTCAAACTGCGCCTGATCGACACGTTGCGTATGGTTACAGAAGGCAAAGTAAGATTTGTTTTAAGACTGAATGTCTAAAAGGTAGAATAAAAATGTTCACCTTCTTTAAAAGCCTAGCTTCTTAACATTGCTTTTCCATCATGTTCAAATAAGAACAAAAGTGATTTTTAAATTAACCTGAGAAGCCAAGTGTATTTCTTTTCAAACCGTATTTATCGGATTTCATGTTGAAATATTTTGCTGAAACACTGGTTATGTGGATGTTTTATTAATATAATTAGTAATACATTTCAGATACAGAATATATTACATTGTATTACAGAATACATTACATTATTTTTCACTTTTAAAAATGTTATGTATTTGAATTTGTTGGAGAAATGGTCAGGTTTAGTTTAATTTCTGCTGCACTTAGCAAGGTGTTACTTACCATTACAATAACCAGAAGGTGATACCAAAGCATTATAGCAAGGTAATTGTTAATGATACCAAAGCATTATAGCAAGGTAATTGTTTACATAATATTCCTTTTGCTTTAAGAAACAAACAGTCCTGGATCAAGGCAAATTTGTATTTATGTTACAGCTTTTGCCTGTTCAAAGGTAGACTAAATTGTTAGTAATCAAGTGTTGTTGATTTATGCTGGTTAGGAGTGAGCAAAATGAAGCAAAAGGTAGTACTTAGCACCCATTAACCCTTTAAGTCTTAACTTGTTTCTGTTTCAGTATATTTTAGCAGATGAAATATCATTCATTCACAGTGCATACCCTTTTATGTTTACTTTTAAAGAAGAATAGGCACATTTAGGCATTATTTTGTAGATTAATTTGGTCCAAATACTTCTGGCGTGTCAATTATCCATCACATTTTATCTGTGTATGTTGTGGATAGTATCAGTATAGTGTATAGATACACAAAGAATTAATTGGTTGTATGAAAACATCGTATGTCTTAGTAGGGTTGTGGTCTTAGAATTTGCACTTTCTTCAGAAAATTCCAGTGTTTAACTTACTTCTGATTTCAGATCTATGTGGAAATTGAACGTGCTCGCTTGACAAAGACACTGGCAACAATAAAAGAACAGAATGGGGAAGTGAAAGAGGCTGCCTCCATTCTGCAGGAATTGCAGGTAACTCACCATGGAACTTAAAACTGTGTCAGCAATAAAAATAAATTGTGGCTGCTCTTAGGTTATTGTTTAGGAACTTCATCAGGTGTGTCTGCAGAAATGGGTGGAATGAGATTAATTGTGATTGGTGAAAGTGTAATTCAGTTTTAAATGCTTTTGTGAGTGTCATGGTTAGGTTACATAGAGTATTTCCCATTTGGAAAACAGATTCCAGTTCTCTGAGCAGTGCATTTAGTTTAGTGGTAGTGGATTCATCTGGTGTAAGTGGGGGCTAGCATTTAAAATTGAAAAAACTTTTCTCCATTTTCATTTGCTCTGTTTTTTAGCTGTTTTTTTTCTGTTGTTTTGTGTCCTCCCTGACAATCTCCCACTTCTTGCACAGTTAAAACTTCACTTGATTTGATTTTGACAGTGTTAAACAGTTACACTTGCATTTTAGGTGGAAACCTATGGTTCAATGGAAAAGAAAGAACGTGTAGAATTTATCTTGGAGCAGATGAGGCTCTGTCTGGCTGTAAAGGACTACATTCGGACTCAAATTATCAGCAAAAAAATTAATACAAAATTTTTTCAAGAAGAAAATACAGAAGTAAGTAAGGATTTCTCTTCCCCCCCACACCCGTACCAATTTAAATATAATGTTCCTCTCTTCAGGTCCAAGTATGTTTGAATCCCTCTGTTTTCTGTTATCTGGTTGGATTTAATATACATGATTCATGGAGCTGTATTAATTTTACTGTTTGATACTTTCAGAAACTAAAGTTGAAATACTACAACTTAATGATTCAGCTGGATCAGCATGAAGGCTCCTACCTCTCCATCTGTAAGCACTACAGAGCCATTTATGACACTCCATGTATCCAGGCTGAAAGTGAAAAGTGGCAGCAGGTAAAAAAACACTAGATGCAAAAAATCTGTATTTTCATGTAGCAAATACCCATTTCATTACCAGATCAATTTACAGCAGGTTAAGTAGCTCATCATCTCTTGGTCTTATGTTTTTTGAATGGCTATATTAACAAATGACTTAGTTGAAAACAAATATAGTAAAGTTGATTTCAAATCATTATTTGCAACTAACATCTTCATGATACTGTTTTTGAATGTCTGGTTTTTACTAGTGCAGAAATTACAAACAGCTGTGCAAGTGGGGTCTAAATGATACTGTTGTGTGTGCAGTACAAATGTTACATGCTTGAAAAGATTTTTTATACATACATTTTTAAAATACTAGAATTTTAGTTAACCTGAATCAATTTAAATTTATCCCTGTGAAAGGGTTCATTTCTGCAAGATGACATCAATTTCACCATAACATCTTAATACCCTGAGCTCAAGCCTTTTACATGTTCATTGCTAAGATCTGTGAGCAGTGTTTTTAACCCCTCTGGTTAATGATGGGGAAAAACCACACTCTTTCCTCTTGAACAGGCGCTGAAGAGCGTTGTTCTTTATGTTATCCTTTCACCTTATGACAATGAACAGTCTGATTTGGTGCACAGAATTAGTAGTGACAAAAAGCTAGAAGAAATCCCCAAGTACAAGTAAGTGTTCTTTCTATGAAACAATTCTTAGATTTAAAAAGTGTCTTTCAAATTAGCTGTGCAAAGGAAATCTGTTTCTGCTGAGTCTGCCTCAGGCATGTCAGAATTTAATGCTGCATGAAAAATACTGCAAAATGTTCATGATTGTGCAAGTTCTACTTTAAATTGAATATCTGTTTATAAGAGAAAGATCCTTCTTAGAAACACAAACCTGAGCTGCCCTTGATAGCATGAAGTATTACAGAATATATTAATGAAGAGCAATGAATTTGAATGGTAATAAAATAAAATGTTTACAAATTATTTATTTGATCTGTTTTAAATATGAAATGAGCCTTATTAATACAGGATTGTAAATCAACTTTACTAAACCACTTAGAGACCTCCTAAAACTATTTACCACCATGGAACTGATGCGATGGACTGCCCTAGTTGAAGAATATGGGAAAGAGCAGGATCCCCTGACAGACCTGCAACAGATGTTTTTGGCTGCACAGAGGAGGGTGAAAAGAGGTGGAAAGATTTAAAGAACAGAGTTGTGGAACATGTAAGTGTGGCTGCTTTAAGCATTAATTTAAGCATTCAGCGCCTCTAAAAATGCTTTTTGCTTTCCATATTTTAGTACCAAACAGAAACAAACAAAAAAGCATGTAGGAAAGCAGCACATAAGTTGTCTTTTCCTTTGTGTTGTATTTTCAACATTTTATTTGCTTGTATATCCTTCCTATAAATGAGTATTTGGCACAGTTGCCAGTAAAAAAAGCATATTGCACTCAAATGGTGAGATTTAGCATTCACATTTCAATAGAACAGAAACTTGAAAGTCTTACTTTCTATTAAATTAATAATTGGTTGATTTCATTACTTAATAAATTATTATGTAGAGACTTTTATAACTTTTACAAGCAAAAGAACTGTTAGTTCACAACTCACTCGTGTACCTTACGCTGGATTGCCCTTAGAGCACTACAGCTCCTCATCTGCTTTTAACACTGACTTTTATATTTTTGCAGCCTGCTTCAATTATATTTTGCACATAACCCTCTACTCTGAACACTTTCATTCCAGAATATTAGAATAATGGCTAAATATTATACCAGAATTACAATGAAGAGAATGGCACAACTCCTGGATCTGTCTGTTGATGTAAGTGTTGCTTTGCTTGTCCTTCTTTCCTAAAGGGTGTGGGAGTACACGTGTGCATGTGTGTGTGGCAAAAATGTTAAGTATTCAGCAGAGTACTGTTCTCTTTGAATTTGAGTTCTCTTTTTAGCTTAAAAATCTCTGCAAGTGATGCCATAGACCATCCTTGCATTCTTTTACAGACAATGCAAAAAGACAGTGTCCTGGTTTGAACATTATGGAAATGTACTGCTTGATACAGAATTCTCAGGGTTTTTCACTAGTGCATTGATGAATGTTCGTATTGTATCTCTAGATACCTGTCTTCCTGTTATCCTTGCATCTCTCTTGGCTTCATCCATAGTCTAATTCCTGATTGTGTTACTTGTGCTTTTCAGCTCTTACAGGAAAAAGAAAGTGCTATAGTGATAGGGAGCATCAATGGAACTTTATTTCATTGGGTTCTTTTTATGAGAAACAGTGTTTCTGAAAGTCTGTTGGGAATAATAATATTAACCCAAATATTTGTCATTTCACTAGTCAATATGAAGACCTTGAGTGTACTTTCATGCCTTTATGTGAGTTTGAAAACTGGTTTTTAATCCAGGGAAAAGCTGCTCTTAAAAATTAATTTATATTCAAGTTTTCATTTAAATGCTGAAGCTTGTCTTAGGTTTCAGTGTTAAAAAGTTCTTGTCAATGGGTGATTAAAACTGAGATACAGGGTTTCTCACCTTTAAATGTCCCTGTTGGTTGCACTTCAGGAGCCTGGGGTGAAGTGATCTTCCTGTCACCCCCCTTTGTGTTTTCAGGAGCTTTCTAAAGAGATTCATACATCAAGGCCTAGTGGTGTTTCGAGTGCAAATGAAAAGCTTTACCCTACTGTCTTTTAACTAATCTGCTCTTTACCACAAACTCAGAATAAACATTGTCAAGTGCTCAGTAATTCACAGGGATTTTCCTTGCTTGTCAGAGGCTTGTTCTGGTATCTGTGTAGCCAAGTACTCCAGAGTGTAAAAGTCTGTTGGTGTAGTATATGAAATTCTTAACTTCCATGAAACATCATCAGATAAAGGTCAAATGAAAAAAAAAGTTTCTAATAGATTGTACTACTACCTTGCAGAGTGAACATGTGTGTTATTAAAGGATAGTGTTTTCTTCAGTACAGTATTGCTACATCTGTATTTCCATTAACTAAATAAAACTTTGTTCCTTGTGCTTTAATGCTGTTTGGGAGGAATTCTGATGTTTTGTAGCTACAAATGCAATTTTCTTGACTTGAAATTTTCTTGAAAATGTTATTTTATTGACTTAGTGCTGTTTGTCTTTGCAGGAATCGGAGGAGTTCCTGTCTAACCTAGTAGTTAATAAGACCATCTTTGCTAAAGTAGACAGGCTGGCAGGAATTATCAATTTTCAGAGGCCTAAGGACCCAAACAATATACTCAATGACTGGTCTCACAAGCTCAACTCACTAATGGCCCTAGTTAACAAAACCACACATCTCATTGCCAAAGAGGAGATGATACATAACTTGCAGTAAGGTGCCTCAATAATCTCAGTGCTTTTAAAGAAGGCATTAAATCTTCATTATAAAGACTATTATTACAGTGTGGATATCGTTTCTTTTGTCCCTGTCAAGCCTTCCTGGTCTAAAATTTAGAACATAATACTGAAATTCCTGTTGACAATTAAGTTCCCTTGATTATTCATTCACTTGTTAAATGTTTTTGCTACAATTGGTGAAAAAATATAATAAAACTGTATTGCCTGGATAATAGTGGTCTTGTGATTTCTTTTTTCCCATGTATATCTTTATCTGTCTAACATAATTCTGTGGTTATTTCATTATAGGACTTTTTGAGGCTGTGATTGAGAGGATATACTGTAAATAATAAAATCCTAGGGTTTCACAGTAGCATGCATGGAGGTAACTTATCATGATAATACTGTTTGGCCAGAATTCTGGATGTTGATGCTTAAGAATAATGCTATTTCTTGTCATTTGGCACTACAGATAGACTTTATTAATTGCTTCTGAATTGACTGAGAAGTAGTTACAGTTTGTATTGGCTACAATAGCAGTTATGCATTTAGCAAAGATAGTACTTCAAAGCTGCTGCTTCCCATAACTGAATGTGTTCTATTCAGACAAGATAATGTCCTATTATTGGCTTTAATGTACTTGTAATGGAGGGAAGCTGTGGACTTTTCCCCATGTCTCTCTCCTCTTTTTTTAAGAAAGTAAATTAGTAGCACAAACAGTATAGTAAGAATCAATGAAACTTGTATTAAATTTAATGCTATAACTAACTATTCTGTCCATAATTAAGAAGGTAGAGACTGCAATTGTAAATGATGTATTGAGTTGTATGTAAATCCTGTATCTTTAAAACCACACCGAACTTCATTCAAAGTAACACTTTTAGCACAGGTAATTATCATATGAATACACAGTAAGTCAGGAAACTTTAGACTGTGATTTTGAGTGAGGGGAGTCTGTTAAGGGACAGGGAAAGATGAAAGCTTCGAAGCAGTGATTTGCATTTGAAATGTAAATTTAGGACATAGCTTAAGGGAAAGTTGCGAATGTGATTTAGGAGGCATTATCAAGCCATACTAATCTAGCTCACTGCATTTAAGTAACAGAAGAACAAAGGAAATATCAGTGAAGGAAGGGAGAGAGAGGAGCAAACTGTTCAGAATGCATAGAATGCTTCCCTTCTAACTTCCTAAATTTCATTATAATCCATTTACATGAATTGTGCAAAATCTTGGCACAGCCGTATCTGAGAATAGGCTGTGCTGGTGTTTGCAAAGCCAGCCTTAGCAGCATAAGCAAAATTGGCTGCTGCTAGGATGATGAACTAAGTAACTTCTGGTTTGACCTTGTTAGCAGCAAAATTCAAACTTCTGGAAACTGAAGCAAGAGGTACCGGAAAGGGGAGCAATGGGACATCAGGGGACCTGGGAACTTGCCTTTCCCTCTTCTTATCATAAACCTTTTCCTTCTGTTTGCACATCTGATCTGGCATCTACAACCCCAAGCACCTAAGCTTATGGACTCTGTGACTTAGACCAGATGAGAGATACAGGACCTGCTTCCCCAGGCAACCCTCATTTCCTTTTTATCCTGCAGTGGAATGGGTCAGCAGTTCCCTGGCTGTACTTCCTGGGGTTCTTGTGGATCCTTCTCCCCCTCTCTGGCCTAGCTATACCCTCTGCTGCCTTTTTATTCATTTAGAGCATGAATTTGTTGTAGAGAGGAGGTGGTTTCTCTCCCCTTGCAACTACCTTTTGCTGTCAGCACTGGACAGAACATGGAAGCATTCTTGCCCTTCAGTAGTCCAGGTATCTCCTTAAAACTCAATTCAGAAGGATTGTGAAGGTTCATTGCAGACCCACCAAAGATCTGCAGTGGTTGAGGTTTTTTTGTCTTTTGGTCCAAAATTGATTGTTGTCCTGGCTGAGTTCACTTACACCTCCATCCTCTTGGTTTGACAACATCCTGCCCAAGGCAAATCCCCTGCTAACTCTGTCCTCAGGGGGAGGGAGCAGCTGGGGTGCACCTAGTACTTGGTGCCTGCAGCAAGAACCCCTCAGCATTTGCCTCCCCACACATCAGAAAGTCAAAAGAGGAGTTTTGAAACAGAATTGTAGAATTATTAAGGTGTACGGTATAAGCCCAAGTGAGTGGAAAGGAATCCATTTAGCCTGGAGATTTTTTCTGGTGTTTTGTTTTCTTGGCAGACTACTAGTAATGAAAATGAGTCTATATTGAGTCTCTGGAAAGGTTGCAACATCCAGGTTGCTGGGAAAAAAGACAAGCTGTAAACTTTTGGTGCTAGTTCACGTCAAGAATACAGATCTATGTCAGGTAGAACTCCTCCATGAACAATTGGAAGGTCAACATGAAGGCATGCCAGCTTCTTAAAAAGATGCACTGAGATTGAAGATCTTTGATCTTGACAATGTGGGATGAAACCTTTTGTGTTAATCTGAACTTCGTAGTTCCTATCTGCTCAATGTACCCTCAATATCTGCTTATTGCCATTTCTCAACTCTCTTGATTTTGTGAATCAAAGGAAAAATGAGTAAGAATGAGTTTGAATATTACTTGCTCTAGAAATTGTATGTGTTTGAAGAGTCCACATTGAGGAAATGTTATCCTTGGATAGTTATGAAGTAAGATAAAAGTTGAGATCATCTGTTCATTAGAGGACTGGAAGAATTCCAGGGGAATTTTCATGCTGGAAAATAAAATTTGCTATTCTTCTGCCTAATCAGACATTAATGGCTGCCTAGAAACAGTCTGCTTTATTGTTTAGCAAGTCTAAGAATTATGTTGCTATCTAACCTCAGGTTTACCACCAACTTGTTTGTGGCAGAGGGTAAACCACTTCTGTTAGTTTCTCATGATTGCTGCTTCTGAGGGAGTTCAAGGATTTATAAAGGTCCAGTGTGCTAAGACAATAAAGACATTGCTTCTATTACTGCAATCATTCTGGAACCTCTGTTGGGAAAGGTCTCCTGTTGTTAAGTTTCTCAGAGGTGAAAACTGCTCAGTATACCTGCTGGGATGTTAGGCTGTGGGGCCAGGGAGGCAATTTGGCACTGAATGTATTGCATTATGTACTTATTATTTTTATATGCTAATTGTAATGCTTTTTCCTGTATTCTGAAGTTAGACATAATGAGTGGAGCTGACTGAAAATCAAGTTTTCTGTATTGTAATTCAAGAAATGCCAAATTCCAGAAACAGGAGTGAACTTTATCATAGAATAGAAATGGAGTTTCTGAATTTCCTGTGAAAGCAAAAGTCTGAGGAGAAAGGAAAAAAAGCAGCTGTGTAAGTTTGAAATAATTATAATAGTTTTGTTTTGAAAATGTAGGAACCAAGCTATAGCTGTGGTTCCAAGTTTGCAGCTCATAGGTGAGCCAAGACTCCAGGGCTTTTTGGCTACCAGCTCTCCATTAGCCCTGAGGCAAGTGAAGGTTTCTTGAGTTCTCAACTCTTCCAGAATCTGTGCCACACCTACCAGAGCTCTGCTCAGATCTCTGCTTCATGGCAGGGAGCCTAGCAGCCCTGAGTGGCCCCAGGTTTTCAAACTCCTGTTTTTTGGCAAGGAGCCTAGATTCTCCAAGGACCTGGGCATGGCTCCTAGCTTCACAGAATAGGGAGAAGCCCTGTGAACAGTCAGGATTTACTGAATCCTGACTCAAAGGCCTGTATTAGTGCCTTCCTTCCAGTTACAGCTCCTGGGATGTTGGGTTTTCTAAATTGCAATTTTCAGATAAGAGATTTTGAAATCTTAAAAAAAAAATGCAAAAGTAGAATTGAATTGCTGCATTTTTGGAGGTGTTTTGGTTTTTTTTGTTTCAATCTTAGCATTATTATGAGTCCCTAGAAATATCACTGTTGGGCATTTAAGGATATGAGTCCTGTCAAGTCTCATGATGCTGAGCAGAGATTCATTGTTTTTATTCCTATCTCATGCCTCCCCATTGTGCCTTTGGCATTTTTTAACATTTGCAACATATACTGTTGCTTTTCATCTGCTCACAGACTCCATGTGACCACCAGTTCCTGGTCTCCTTGGGCAGAAGTGTGCTGCAACCAGTGCAAAAACCCACATTCCTCAGCAGAAGCCCAGTACTGTCAGCTTTCCTCTTGCCATGAGATCCCATTTGTGAGCTTAGCACATGGGGATTCCAGGAACTTTGGAAGTCTGGACAATTCTGGAAATGCAGGCCAGCATTCAGCATGTAACACATGGTTCTGTGCCCATTCCATGGTGAGGACCTGGCTTGTCAACTTAGCCTGTACAGTGAATAATGTGATTGATGTGTACCTGTGAATGATGTGTTTGATTGTAGAGGTCAGAAGCCAAAATTGCAGCTTCCACTGAGGTAATACACATCAAGGAGAAAGAGACATACCCCATGGGGTCCCTCCCCTAGTAGCAGCTAATATGAGCTTATTTCCTTAAATTATCCCTTAGTACTGTATTGAAAAATTTTACTGCCAGTAAAAGCCACAAGAAGTCTCTTTCTTCCCATGTAGTGTGTAACTGGTTGCTGGTGGCACACTCTGCCTCCTGTTGCTGTTAGAAGTGGCTCTGAAATGAGAGTTTAGTTGTATGAAGGTCCTTTGGCTTTAAGATCTCAACCCTTAGGCCAACTGCTCTATGAATTGCACTTTGAGCAGAATTTCTAAGGTTAATGAGTGCTTGCAGTCCAAATCTGGTTTGGGCTAACAGTCCTCTTTTTTCTGTCTGGTTAAAAAGACCATGAAAGAGCTTGGAGAGGGAAAAAAAATACAGTTATTCCAATCTTGCAGGCTCAGTGGCAGTACTTGAACAAAACAGTGCTTGGCAGCCAACCCCATCTCAGAGCTGCTGGCTCCCTCTGTGGCCTCTGGCATGTCCACTTAGGGTTTCTGCAGTACAATTAACCAGTCTACAAAATACTGTAAAACCTGCTTCATATGGGAGCTAAGAGGTTTAATTTAAGTAAAAAGATCATAAAAAGCAGTGAGTTTAAGGGCACAGTCTCTATATTGTGCTTTATACACAGCACTTTTTCTGAGATGGGGTTCTCCCGCTGCCATGGGCCTTCCCTGGCTCCTTTTCTGGGCTGTTTCTACACTGCTGAGTTGCCATCTTTTTACAGCAGTCTTTGCCTTTCAGTACTTTCAACCTAGGAACTTTCAAACAACAGAGACAGATAACAATAAAAACGGTGTCTGTCATTGAACAAAAAGAATCACAGAA